TATGGTACAGTATGTATTATTATCATTATTATTCTATCATCATTTATTATTATTTTGGTTGTTGTTGCTATAATCATTATTGTTATTATTATCATTTATCATGATTATAATTATTATTACTGTCATTATTATTATTACCATTATTGTTGTTATTATTATTATTACTATCATTATTGTCATTATTATTATTGTTATTATTATTATTATTATTATTATTATTATCATTATTATTATTATTATTACCATTATTGTTATTATTATCATTATTATTATTATCATTATTATTTCCATTTTTATTGTTAATATCATTATTACTTTTGGTATTATTATTATTATCATCATCTTCAGTATTATTATTATTATCATCATCTTTAGTATGATTATTATAATAATTATTGATATTATTATCATTATCATTATTATCATCAGGATTATTGTTATCATTGTCATTATCATTACTTTTATAATCATGTTATTGTTGTTATTACTAATATTATTAATCGTATTATCACAATCATTATCATTTTTATGATCATTGCCATTATTATCTTTATCATTTTCATCATTATCGTTATCATTATAATTATTATTAACGTTATTAATATCATTATCATTATTGTTATTATTGTTATCATTATTACTGTTATTATAATCATTATCATTATCATTATTATTATTATTATTATTATTATTATTATTATTATTATTATTATTATTATTATTACACATTGTATCTTTATCATTATCATCATTATTATCGTTGTTATTAATGTTATCATTATCATAATTACTATTATTATCGAGGTTATTATCATTACTACTATTATTATTGCTATTATTATTTTTGTTATCCTTAATCTTATCATTGTTGTTATCGTTATCATTATTATCATTATCATTGTTATTATCATTATTGTTGTCGTTGTTATTGTTGTCATCCTTATTTTTATTATTATTATCATTATTATTGGTTATCATTATTGTTATTATTATTATCTGTTATAACTATTATTATCATTATTATCATCATGATTTTCATTATTGTTATCATTATTATTGGTTATCATTATTGTTATTATTATTATCTTTATTATCATCATTGTCATTATCATCATTATTATTACTGTTATTACCATTATTATCATTATCGGTATTATCATTGCTGTCATCATCATTAATATTATGAACATCATTGTTATTATCATCACTATCATTAATATTATTATTATCACTATCATTAATATTATTATCAATAGCTCTCTAACGCAACTTTCTGTCCCTCTCAGAATAGTATTCTATTTCTCGTAAGAAGGAAGAATGGAGAACGAGAAATCGGACATTATCGTACACCATCCCCCAGCAACCATCACCGCCAGAGGTTTTGGCGCGAACCTTGCCTGGGGCGGAGACGCGGCGGCCGTGTCGATAGCAGACTTTTCCTCCGACTCTCTGTATCTCTGTATTTCTACCAGTCTCTTATTCTATCAGTCTGTCTGTTCGTCTGTCGCTCAAACACACACACGCACACGCTCACACACACATACACAAATATACACACATACGTACGCACATACACGTGTGTGTGTGTGTGTGTGTGTGTGCAGAGAGAGAGAGAGAGAAAGAGAGAGAAAGAGAGAGAATGAGAGAGAGAGAGAGAGAGAGAGAGAGAGAGAGAGAGAGAGAGAGAGAGAGAGAGAGAGAGAGAGAGAGAGAGAGAGAGAATGAATGAAAGAAAGAAAGAAAGAAAGAAAGAAAGAAAAAGAGAGAAACAAATTAAACATTTACCCTCCATCACCACAAAAATGAATGCTCCGTCTCCCCTGTTTCGAATTCCAAGCTTCCTTCGCCGTTCCCCTGCTGCCTCTCCTTCCCCGACCCGCTTCCCTCCGTCCCCGGCCAATTGACTCTGGATTCACATATTTTGCGCGAAATGAGGGAGATGGAAGCGGGGACAGGCAAATGCACATCAGGTCGCTTCTCCTTTTGAGGAAACTGCCCCACTCGACGCAGCCCCCGACCGCTCTTGGCTTCGCAAGGGAAATGTTGAGCTTGTGGACCACATACGGGGACATACTTATAGAAATAACGTATATGTTTATCCGGCTGTCTATCTGTCTCTCTCTCTGTTTATCTATCAGCCTATTTACTTTTTTATTTATCTATATATATACACGTGCGTGTGTGTGTGAAGGATAGGCGAATAGACTGATGGATATACCATGTACAAGACATAAAAACCAGAGTAATTTGAGTGCATGTGCGCGGTGCAGAGAACGAATGAGCGTGATTTGTTCAAGGGCGAATGTGCGAAGAGGGAAGGTAATAGCCTTGAAATCGCTGCATTACTGATAATGTTCTTAATTGGCCACCATTTCTTTAAAATCAGAAGGCTTTGTGAAAAGAGAATATTAGAGAAATGTAGGAGCAGACGAGATGGAAGAGAAAGTGATCGTTAAAAATATAGATATAGAAACGTCATCGAGGAAAAGGAGAGAGAGAG